CTCAGGCTGGTTTCGAACTCCTGAGCTCAAACAATCCGCCCGCCTCGGCCTCCCAGAGAGCTAGGATTACAGGCGTGAGCCACCGCGCCTGGCCAGATTTTTTTCATTCTTGATTGGAATATGAACATTGAATGTTACACTTTTTTAGTGTGGCCTTTTATTGTATTCCTATAGAGTTGGATTCCCCTGGTAGGCACTTAAGTTCCTTTCGAGGTTCTTTTTAAACTCTTAGGGCAAGTCTAGAGTAGTCTTTATTCTAGGTTTCATTTATCCCCCACTTGTAAGCTTGTCTCCTCTGGGATATCACCAGATGTCCCCAGTATTCAGTGAGGTTTCTTCACTCTTGCTGAAGAAGTTTGAATGAGTTCTGGCCCTGAGTGAGCTGCTGGAATTGTTTGTTTTGAAGTTCCCTCTGAAGGGAACTTCCCTCTGTTTTGAAGAGGAAGTTCCCTCTGTTTTGAAGGTCTTTCATCAGAAGTTATTTTTAGCCCAGCCTTGTGACTTTCTCCCTGTGCATTTACAGACTAGAATTCAGGCGAAGACTTAAGGGAACCCAAATTCAAATTTCATGAAATTTTTCTCTTTGTAGCTCCCTCCTTTGTGGAAGACTTCTCCAGAAATTCTGTCAGTCTGGCTTCTCTACACCTGTACTGTTGCTTCTTTAATAACCATTGTTGTGGGGCGCTACTGGGTTACCTTCCCATGGCTCCAGTTTGGAAATTGCCTAGGCAGAAAGCCTAGGGAGTGGTAGGTGGGGCTCACCTCATCTGTTCATTTCTCTCAGAGCTGGTCTGGTGCTGCCTGTTGTCCAATGTATGAAAATCATTGCTACATTTTGTCCATTTTTTTAGCTGTTTACTATAGGAAGGTAATTCCGAGTAGTGTTAGGTGCTCACAGCTGGAAGCTGCATGTACTGATGTTTCTTTTATTTTACTTCTTGGGCTTAATTTGTCTTGCTAGGTATATCCTTTAGAAATTCTTCCAGAGAAAAACCTGTGGTTGGTAAATTTTCTGAGTTCTTGAATTCTGGAAAGTCGGTAGTCCTAAAACTTGAATAATGATTTGGTTATTGAATTTGTAGGTTGTTTTCCTACAAAAACAGTTGTTTTCCTCTGAGCTTGAAATATGCTATTATCTGTCTGCTTCTATTCAGTGTTGCTGATGAGCAGTCTGCTTTTATTATGGTCCTTGTTACTTGGTGGAAAACCTGCTTTTTGTTTCTTGGCACTTGTGATAAGGTTTTTGCTTTATCCTTGGTTTTCTAAAATTTTGTGTCCAGTGTGGATTAATTTTTAAAATATATCCTGCTTTTTCCTTAGGCCCTTTTAAATCTGAGGACTATGTCTTTCCTAACTTCTGAGAAATGCTATTCTCTGATTTCTTAGAATATTATCTCTTGCTTGTGGATATTGGATGTTGGAACTATTTACTCTAGCATCCATTTTTAACTTTTCTTCTGTAGCTTCACTAACCTCTGGGACATAGCCGTGACCTCAGCCCTGGACATAGTAGTGACCACCAGGACAGATGCGACACTGTTGTGTGGGTGCTGGAGAGGTAGGAGCCAGAAGGACATGGAGTGGGGTCCACCCTTGCCAAAGGATGGAAGTGTCTGGTGGGGGCGGGAGGCAGAATCTCCCAGAGGATCTCTCCATGAGGGTGGCAGGGACAGTTCCCTCAGCTCAGGGGGATCTCAGGAAATGGGGAAGGGGCTCAGCATCTGGTAGGAGGGTCCAGTACTTTCTGTGCCAGCCTCCATATGGGGCCAGGTTGACCCTCTAGAGTGGAAGAGCCACCCCCCCAGCATTGCCTGCCAGCCTCTGTCACGTTGGCTCCAGGGCAGAACCTGCCCCCATCACAGGCTTGGCACCCTGGCAGTCTGCTAAGCCCAGGCTCAGGGCCACTGGTGCTCAGGGGGCAGGGCTGCCAGTCCAGCTCCATCCCTTGGGGGCAGTAGAACCCTGTGAAGGGGGCGGGACCCAGACTGGGGCCTGGGAGGTGGGGCAGGGAAGGAAAACCAGGGAGGCCCCCAGCAGGGGAGGCCCCAGGCTTCGCCCACATGGAGGCTGTGCCTCTGTGCTGGGGGCTCCTGCCCAGGAAGTCTCAGTGCTCCATAAAAGCAGAGATTACGGCATCATGATCAGAATACACAGCCCAGGACTTAGCAGTGCCTGGAGACTCAAGCAAGGCCTGAGGGAAGTGGGGAAGATGACAGGCAAGTTTACTGCCCACAGGCCCCCACTCCTGGCCACTGGACCCTTGGATCGGTCAGCCAGGCCACTGGCATGTCACCTCTGGGACACAGCCGTGGCCTCAGGCCTGGACACAGTAGTGACCACCAGGACAGGTGTGACACTCTGTTGTGTGGGTGCTGGAGAGGTAGGAGCCAGGAGGACATGGAGTGGGGTCCACCATTGCCAAAGGATAGAAGTGCCCGGGGGGGGGCAGCAGGGATAGTTCCCCCAGTGCAGGAAATGCTGGAAAAATGTGCGACAAGCAGAAGGGCCTTGACTAAGGAGAATCCTTGAGGAACAGGGAGCTGTGGACAGCAGACGGCCTAGAGCTGGCCCTGGGGATGCCCAGATCAAGCCCGAGGGCTGGAACCCTTGCTAGCCTGCTCTCCTATGAACCCTCTCACTCATGGTCTGCTCTGTCAGGTCGGTGGGAAGGGAGGTGGCAGAGACTGGACAAAGGTGTCTTTTCAGTGATCTCAGCTGCAGAGTAGTCAGGTCCCTGGTGTGGCCTGACCCCTGCACGTCTGCATCTGGCCTGTGGGGCCCCCAGGGCAGTGGGGGTTGTTCCTCCCTGACTGGCAGGGATTTCCTCCCCTGCTCTCTAGCTGGACTGGACCCTGGAATGGAGCTAACTGTGGATACCATCCCTGTCCTGCTCGGGGAGCATGGAGGGGACACACTGCCCACCTGGGGAGGCAGGGTGCTGGCCACATTGACAGGTGGCCCCCAGAGCAGAGCTGTCCTCAGAGCCATCTTGCCACCCTCTGGGGCTCTGCTGCTGCCTTCCACAGACCAGGTGCTAGAGGGATCAGGCTGGGACCAGCGCTCTTGAAGGAGGCAGAGAAGTTGGAGCAGGGGGGTTGGGGTTAGGCCACGCAGTCCAGCCTCCTCTCTCCAGGTCCTCCCAGCAGACCAGGTTAGGAAGCCCTCTCAGCATCCAGAGGGAGGGACTCATTCAGCTCTGGAGCCCCTGGGTCAACGTTGCTGACTGGATACATGAATGGGCAGAAAATGGGGTCCCGATTCTGTTGGGGTGGGTTGCCTGGAAAATACAAGGCCAAGTGTCGCTTGTCCGAAGCAAGGAGAACCCAGGAGGGGGAGGAGTGACAGGCCTGAGAAGGCCCCCTGGGTGGGAAGTGGACGAGGCGAGAGCAGCAAAGGAGGGAGAGTCGGCAGTGGGAGGCCAGTTATTCGAGTAAAGGTTTCCCAAGGTCAGATGTGGGGAGGGTTTTCGGGGATGGCAGGATGGGGCAGAGTGGGGAGGCCCTGGGGACAAGGGTTCCTGCTTGGCTGTGCAGCACATCCCTGGCCTGGTATCCCAGGCAGGGCCACTGTGGTCTGTGCCGGGGAAGGGGTCAGAGCCCTGGGGCCAGCAGAGGGCTGGGAGGGAGACAAGCGGCCCACAGGGCAGTGGGTACCCTCGAGGCGGGAGTGTGAGGGTGAGCAGAGGTGGCCCCGTGTCCCGTCAGCCAGGTCCTTGCTGACAGCTCCACCCTTGCACCAGCGGCCTGCAGCTCAGTCTCCTGGGGGAGAGGACATCTGGTCAGCGTTCCCTTGCCCTCCTCGCTGGAGGCTGCAGCGTCAGTTATGGAGTAGCTCGTGCTTTCCCCGCACCACAGCCACAGGCTGCAGGAGTCTCTCACCCAGAGCCAGCTGGCATGGGACCCTGGGAAGAGTGGGGTCCTGAAAGGCCTCTGTTGAAAGTGGGTGTCTGGGTGTAGTTTTGCTTCTAGGCAGGGGTGCAACGATGGGGCACCCAGATCTGGGTGATGTCCAGTACCTGGAGAGCTTTCTAGAACCAGGCACCAAGGCCGACCCCAAACCTCTTGACCTCGGGTAGGGCCTGGGGACATTGTGCTTTCAACGGTCACTCTGAGTGAATGATGGAAGGGATCTTTGGAATGCAGTGAAAGTGTAGACTTCCTTCTAGCCCACAAATCTGTGCTGCTCTGACGCATGTTGGTCAGGGAGCCAGGGCTGCGGAGCTTCTCCCTGAAGCATCTCCTCCACACCTGGTCTCCTTGCCCTCAGGCTCACCACTGCCCGAGGCCTTTTCTGCCCTGGAAGACACCTAGGTCTGTCTGTACTTGTTGGAGCTGTGAGTTCGGCCAGTGCACAGAATTTCCCAGCAGGGCACAGCTGGTATTCAGTGATGCTCGTCAGCCCCTTGCAAGGGCCATACTTACCCACTAGACAGCTGTAGCATGTGGCCTTGGCTGTGCAGTGGTACCGTCAAGGACAAGGGTGCAGGCCGAAGTCCTGGACGGCCCCGCACTGGAGTCACAGTACTAGCTCGGCCAGGGGTGAGGGATGCTGAGGAACACGGGCTACCCCCTCCTGTGATGCTTGGTCTTTGCAGTGGGAGCCCAGTGCCCAGAGAAGTGCCGTGCCCCCACCCCCGGCTCTCATCCCGGCCTTGCTCCCTTTCCCACAGCCCAGGTCTTCCTTCCCTCTCACCTGCTGGCCACTGCCCACTGTAGCTTGGAGACCAGCCTCCTTGCAGTAGAAGCTGGGTGGGCAGGGCTGGCATCTGGAGGCACTGTCTGATCCTGGAGGCTAGAGAAGGTGCTGGAGGGACAGGGTGGACCTGTGTGCTTGTGGGCAGTAGGAGCAGACCCAGCCTCAGAGAGCTGGATGGCCCGTGATAATATACTGACTGATTAAAGGATAGGTGATTGGTAGGTGATAGATGTATTGATTGATTGATCAGTAAATAGATAGATGATAGACAGGTGCACCTTATCACAATTAAAGCTGGGTGTCAGTGCTATTAGTAAATAGAGAGCTGGGGGTGTTTAGATTATTTAACAAGTTAAGCTGGTTTCATTTTTCTGAAAAGTTAAATTCCCTGTGCGGTTCCCAGAGATTTGCTCGGGAAGCAGGAGAGCAGGTGCGGCTGGGCCGGGCCACAGACCTGGAGGACTCACGGCTGCCCAGTCCCTCTGCCGGCCTGGCTCCCTGGCCCCTCCACAGGCCCTTCACCTGGAGCTGGAGAAGCATCACCAGGGCTCAGACCACTGAGGGCTGATGAGACTCCAGGGGCAACCAGGCCACTGTCCAAAGGCCTTGGCCTCAACCAAGGTTCACAATCCTCCGGGCCCTGGGTTGGCAGAAGAGGTTTCTAGGGAGCTGCTGTTCCTCAGGCCCCAGGAACCTTGTGCATGCAAAGGCGGGAGCCAGGCTCTAGCCCCTCAAACATCCAGCCAGCCTGGGTGCTTCCTCTGCCTCCAGGATTTCACTGCCCAGGACATGAGATTCCTGCTGGGCCAGTGATGGCTGTGATAGGGTCAAGCTCTGGAGGTATCTTGGATGAGCTCATAATTTAGGACCCTTTAAATCCACATCTTCCAATCTGTGTCCCCTGTGTGGTCAAGGGGAAGTAGGGGTGTGGGTGACAGGACAGTGGAGGACAGTGCCCATTTCTCATCTGTGTGGCCCCAAACTTCACGCCCACAGAGCCCATGGACAGCCTGCTGTGCATGGGACCCCCATCTTGGAGGCTCTTGGGGGACCCTCAGCCTCTTCCCCAAAGACTGGCCCATGTGTTGTCCCAATCACAGGTGGGCAGTGGTGTTTAGAGCAGGCAGGACCTTTTTCTTCATCCTCCAGGACACTCCTGCCCCCCCTCCCCATCGCCATCACATTTAGGAGCCCCACTCCAGTCACCCTCCAGCCCGCCTCTCTCATTCACCCAAGCCTGGCCACACCAACCGGGCACACTGCCCTGGGCTCTCTCCAGCGGGTCTCTCCCTTAGGCACCGAGGCTCCCAGGGCCAGTGCCCAGGTGGCAGGCCCAGCCCCACTGTGCTCGGTGCTCAGGGGATGCGGGCACCCCTACCTGGTGCACATGGGCCCCTGGGGCAGCCTGGCCTGTGAGGGCACAGCAAAGCCCAGGTGGGCAGGGCAGGCACCAGTTCACATCCCGTGCCCTTCTCTGCATTCCAGGTACCAGCCCGGCAGGGCTACTACCTGGGGTCCTTGTGCCAGCAGTGCAGAAAAGGCCCTGAGGGCAGAGGTCACCAAGAGGTCCTCTAGAGTCCCTCCTAGAGGAACAGGGGCCCATCAAGGCTTAAGAGCTGAGGGCAAGGGGCTTCTTTCCACTGGCTTCCCTCCTCTTCCTCCCTGCCCGGCTCTGCTGGCCCAGCCCAGCCACACGTGCTCTCTTGCTCCCCCAGCACATCTCTGGGAACCGCACAGGGAATTTAACTTTTCAGAAAAATGAAACCACTTTGACTTATTAAATAATCTAAACAACCCCAAGTCACTATTTACTAATAGCACTGACACCCAGCTTTCATTGTGGTAAGATAAACCTGTCTGTCATCTGTCTGTCAATTAATCAATGTGTCTATCATCTGTCAGTCGTCTAATGACAATGTACATACTTGTCATTATTAATAGTTCCCTAGTATCCTACTGGGTTGATAAACCATTTATCTGCCTAGATATTTTCTTATTTCTGGGCCTTTGTGGTGTTTTGTTTTTGATATTAAAATTTGTGCTGTTTTGGGTATTTTTTCATAAATGACCTTTTTTCCCCTTTCAGGATCTTTTCCACATTGAATTCCTGGATCAAAGGGTACAAACTGCCTGAGGCTCTGCTCCAGCTCGAGAGACCCCCGTCCAGCACCCTGGGCCCAGGCTGCAGCAGAGAGGCTGGACTCTACCCACATCGAAGCCTTCCGAGGGCTCCAGCCCTTGCATTTACTTTCGACGGTTAGTAGATGCGTCTGGTACATAAGTGGCATTGCTTCATGTGCCCTTAAAGTCAGCCCAGGGTGCCTTTCCCTAGCTGATGACATATTTGTATTTAGTCCCTTTTCCGGTGGATCCTGGACACTGGGCCCGCCCTTTACTTGTTATAGTACGTTTTCATTGTCCGTGTTTAATGGCTAAAGTTCTACCTGCTCTGTCTCTGCAGTAGTTTCATCCCATCTTCCCCGGACTACTGTGTCTCCCACAGAGTAGGCAATGGGCCCCAGAGGGCAGATACGCGGCCTTTACTGTATTGCATCCCTGATCTTGGCCCTCTGGGAGGCCTGGTGGGGCCTGTACTCACCGGGGACCAGGGACGAGGTGTTGGGGCCAGGCCCACAGTGATGCCTGGGCAGTAGAGCCTCTGGCGCTCAGCCAGGCTGGCTCTGCCACAGTAGGCCCTGGGGCAGTATGGCTGGCAGTCCTCCACCTGGGAAGCTGTGGGGGCCTTTTGGAATTTGCCCTGGGTGAAGAAAAGGATGAGATGCCACCAAGGTCAAGGTCCTAAGGCCAGAAAAAGGGCTGAAGGCCTTGGACAGGCAGGCTGCTCTGCCAGGGAGGGAGCAGGGCAGGTCCCTCCAGCCTCCCCTTGGACAGACAGGGCAGGAGAGGGAAGATGAATCAGTCCTGTCCAAGGAAGGATCCCCGAAGATACATGCACTAGTGGGAGCATTGACCTTTCAGTAGACCAAAAGTGTTTGAGCACAGAATGCCCACCCTGTGAGCAATGCTGTAACTGTGAACTAAAAATAAAATCCTGAGCCTCTTCCCACCTACCTCCTCTGCTAACTGAACGGACCCTTCTCGGCCAAGGGGACCCCAGAAATACCTTAAAACGGAGTTCCCAGCCATGACGTGATGGAAGAGGGAAAGCCCAATTACAAATGCACATGATTTCTCTTTTCATAAATATTCATGCCTCTTATAGCTTGTTGAATGTGTGTGTTTGGCCACCCCGCTTAGTATAAAATCTTACTCCTTTTTTCTATCCTTTGAAGCACTTGTCCCTGGCTTCTGACCAGGGGGCTGTTGGAATGGCCACCCAACAGGCTGCTACCCTTTATGAGAAATACAGCTCTCCTTTTTCCAAAGTATGAACCTCATTTTCTTTCAATGAACATAACCATGATTCCTTCTTAGCAGATGTCGATGGCAGGAGGAAGAGACATCAGAGGAACGAAGGCCATCTGAAAAGGTGTGTGTACCTTGGGGCGAGGCACGGTGGCTGAAGGGCGTGGAGGAGAGGCCATCCCACTGGCAGCTGCACCTACACGTGGCCCTCCAGCTCCCACAGGCCTGGGATATACTGTCCCTGTGACCTTCTGTCTAGCACCCTAGTAGGAACCAGCTGTGGGAGTGTGAGCGGTTCAGCCCTGATCGGAGTGAGGGCGGAGGCTGGAGTGCGGTCCTGTCATGGTGAATGGAAGTTGTTCCTCTGGACCACCAGTATAGGCCGATGGCCCCTGGGCCTCCTTGTGCAGAAGCTGAGAGACACCAGCTGGAGGGACCCAGGCGAGGGTCTCACTGCAGGCAGGGGATGGACAATAGGCCTTGGTCTGGGCAGTAGTGCCAGGCAGACATGTCGTGGGGCCAGCCAGCTTTGTCTGGCTGCAGAGTTTTCTTTCTGGGGATTCTTGGCACCAGAGATGACCTGGACCGTGGGAAGGGGTGTGGACAGTAGGTCCAGGTTCTTTCCACGCCTCTAACGTGTGGGCCTGGTGCACAGCAGGGACTCAGGAAACGTGTGGAGTTGGGGCTGTTGCTGGCCCAGCCCAGGCTCTGTGTGCGCCTCCCTTATGCGGAGGGCAGATGCCGGCAGACCTGAGGTGCTCTCTGTGCACCTGGCCTGGCTGCAAGATTGTCGTGCCTGGAGGAGGGGGCCCAGGCTGGAGGCTGCACTCGTCCTCGTGGAGGCCTCCCTATGGGTCAGAAAAGGTTAATGATCCCTGCACAGCTGGGACCCATGGGTGGTCCTGGGCTGGGTGGTCACGGTGGCTGCACGGTAGGCCACTCTGTGGGTCTGTGCCACCCACCCTGCCTACCTCCTCCCACCTGCCAGGACTCACATGGTGTCTACATGAAGTCCTGGGCTCTCAGGGAAGACATGGGGCAGATGGTCGGGGTCTGCCACATCAGGTTAGTACTGGGTGCTGGAGCCCGGCTGGGTTCGTGTCCCAGCTCTGCCATCTGCAGACCCCTCCTCATTCTGGAGGGGAAAGCTGTGCCGCAGAGGGGGTTGGCCCTGAGCTGACACAGGTGAGGGTGCTGAGGATGGTTGAGCTGCAGCTGGAATAGTAAGGGAGAATGATGGTGCTTCCCGAGAAGGAAGGAAAGATCGTGGCTAAAAACATAATTAGGCTCTTTGGGTAGCAGCGATTCCCCTCGGTTCCCTGTGTGGAAATGTGCGGTACTGAAAAAAAGGCACATTCTGTGACTTGGTCTGCCCGGGACTTCATGTCATTTCCTCACGTAATCACTGAGTTCCTCCACTGATAGGAGCTTCCAGAGATAGCAGCAGCAGAGCAATGGGGCATTTATGCAATGTCACTTCCCCTCTAAATGGTTAAAATACAGTCCCGTCCCAAGGACAGGGCAGCGGTGCAGGAACGTGCTTTAGGGGTGCTCCTGCCCTCGCATTTCCTTGGGACGTCCCCTGCACTTTAGAAACTTGATGTTCCTGTAGTTTAACATCTCGAATTTTGAAACTAATGTTGATAGACTTCAAGGCTTTTTAAAATAAAAAAAATTTTAAATTGATAAAAGTCTTTTAATGGAGAAGGATGCAGAGGATTTGCCACACTGAGGATGTCAGGGAGTCTTTATTAGACTGTGTGCGCCTGCCGCCTCCTCCCTGGGCATCGCTGGCTGCTGAGGACCATGAGACGTTACAGGGAGGAAGCCACAGACTTGCTGCTTTTGGAAACATGAAATGGAGAGGGAAAGTTCTGCGAGTTATCAGAACTTACTCTATTCTTATGCCTTCCTCCCTTGGTGGGGGTAATGATCAGACTTTACGCTCAGATTGTCATAAGAGAATTTCAAGGCTAGATTATGTCACACGTGACTCACTTTCAAACTTTGTTAGGTAAAGCAAAACAAAAAAAAAAAAACAGAAATTATTTAAAAATACACAGTTTTTAGCAATTAGCTCTCTAGAGCCCAAGAGGCAGAATATAACCCTGGAAGAGCAGTTCCCATGCTCAGTGTCTGGACCCTGGAGGGAAGATGTTCTTATCAGCGACAGCTGCACACATAGTGAATTCCCAGGGAGGGGTCAGAGTTTGGCAGAAGACAAGAAGGGGGCCTCCCTGCCCTCCCAGTCTCCTGGGTGAGCAGGTGAAAGCAGCCAAGGACAAAGCCACAGGTGGGACCCAGGAGCCCAGTGCCCACGGTTGTGCCCAGACTGGGGCCTTCTGACATCCCTCTGGACGTCCTCTCATGCAAGTGAGGAGGGGGCAGAGAGGAAACCCGTCCAGGAGAGAAGGTGACAACAGAGAAGTCAGTCCTCACCCTGACTGGTTTTCTCTCTGTCCCCTCACCTGTGAGAGCGGAAGTCCAGAGGGATA